TTCGCGTCACAATCGTGATTCCCATTATTCCAATTCAATGGGATCGAAGTCAAATCGTACGTGCGTCGAGATGTGATTAGAGCCTGTGTGTAATATAATTCAATTTAAGTGACTTCCGTTATACATATCCGGATACTGATCTGGCTTCTCACCTCTTTACGCGCGTGCACGCATTTGCGCTGGTTACAGCTCAATTATTTCACCGCAACCTCTGACTGTTCGAGCGTTAAGCGAATTCACACGTACCGACAGACAGGGGCGTAATGATGAAGTGGTACCGTGTGATCTCGAGAGCGTTATATGACTTTATGAGCTATTCATACATAGCTCGATCGATTATCTAATACAATCAGAATTATCGATCTTCTGTGCAATGTTCTGCGTTAAATTTAACAATAAGTGCGCTGTACAAGCATAAATAGATTTTGTCAAAGGAAATGAAGATGAGCACATCATGATAAACCGATAAACCGTGTACTGTCACGGTGGAATTTTTAACGATATTAATGCTTCTATCTCGTGTCTTAGCAATAAAACTAAAGAAACCTCAACACACAGCACGTTATATTCGCAACATGTTCATGAAAATTCAATGGGCTGTAACAACGTGGGCGTGCAGTAATAAAGCTGGACTGTGTAACGACACTGCCATTAAACGGCATTGCGGTCGTGAATACTATGCCGCGATATGAGACCAGGCCATTATTCGAATTAAATTAATGCAACCGGGCTTTCTCGATGTAAGAAAACGTATGATTATTTTCCCATAATTACATCATAAAAGATGACACCGCGCTGTGTCACGGTAGATTCATACATGATCGCGAAACCGTAGCGGGATTTTGCAAGTTAATGACATTCCGTGTAATCGATTACTCAGCATATCGTGGGACGTTTAATCAGGTGAGGTGACTCAACGATCCACGATGAAAATTATTAATCTCTTTATATAAAGGCTTCACCCATCGTAGATCTCAGTTTTAAATATCACCGATCGTTATTAAATTAACATTCGTAATAGTTATCTAAATATTATATGTAAAATTCTAAGTTGATGAGTTGATATTTAAGATTAATATTGGCACTTTGAGATTTCTAATTTAATTTCTAATGATTTTGCATTTAAAAATTAATCTCCGAATTAATATTTGTATATTTACTTTATAACTTTACGTTTTTAATACTTTATACTTTTTTCAATACATTACTTAATATTATTTAATATCTTTCACAATCATTGTTTAAAAAATTGTTGAGAAATAACATTTTTCACATAAGTTAAGACGAGAGAATTCTGATTTCGTAGCGGAAATTTGTCGACTTACTTCGACTAATAGAGAGGCGCACGAGATTTCCGTGTAACCGTTAATTAAGATATCAATCTGCGCGCTGCAAAATATAGGCCGGCAATAGGAGGGCGCCCGACAGATACGATCTGGAAACTCGGCCACATCTTTTCAAAGACGTCGTGCTGTGGAGCAAAACGAAAGACATCGATTCGCCGTGGCAGCGCATACATGCACCACTGCAATTCCGGTAGTATGCCGAGGCAGAGAGACGAGGATAATAAATATCGCTTTGCAATCCGTAGTTTCAGAGACTGCATTGTGCAAACTATTCGCGCAGGCGTGTCGGGCGAGCACCAACGTGATCGACATTCCAAGCCCGAAACGAAATTGGGCCCCCCGGCCCCATGCCGTTAGGCAGGTAGACAGTTCTCGGGTATTTCTGCAAATGCGTTTGCGATTACTGCATCTCGGTACTGCGAATCGCAAAATTCCTGCATCGTGACTCCTTATTACATTCGGCATTCTCGACGTTACGGCAGCTGCCAATGTCGTGTCGCTGCAAGCGAGTTTGCGCATTGCCGTGCAGAGGTGACCGCGAGACTGGCACTTTTCCCGAAATAGCATACTTCCGGCAGAGAGTCCGGGAGTTCGCTCACAGAAGAAGCTTATCGCGTTGTAGAAGGTAGAAGTTACTTTTGCATACTCTTGCGCCGCGACAAGAGAACTGCAGTAATGCACAGGAATAGAGAATGAGTATCATAAATCTTATGCCGGGTGACTTTTTCGGCTTTTATTTCTTAATCTAAAAGGAGAACATGTATGTATCTCGTATATATTACGTAATCTTTTTTTGTTTGATTTTATGATTTACATCGGTAAAATATTGACATACATTCTTTTTAAAACACGTCAAACTATATTCTGCTTTTCCAGCTTGTTCTGATGTAACTTATTTTATTACGTTTATATCCGAAGTATTATTGGGATCTAGATTGATTTATTCCAGACGATTTTGATAGAGTCCAGCATACAATCAGTTATGTAACGTAGAACATTTTAAATTATACGAATATAGATGTTTTATTGTTGATCTGATTTTACATGTTTTTTTTTCATGACACTTTCGTATCTGAAAAAAGATAATTTAAATCTATAATTTTGTGTAAGGAAAATCGAAATTCTGTCCCTGAATATGCATGTTCATCTTTGTTATAAAGATAATTAACTATTCTACTTGCGACGTCAGAGTATTTCGATCCCCTTCTTGACTACAAACTTCATTCCTTGTAATATATATGTATATATATATAATGACATTTGAGTTCTGAATATAATTATGTAACTTCCACGAGCTATCTGTAAGCCACCACGATTGACGATCAGAATGTGCTTTCGCAAACTCAGTCTGATTACGTAGACAATAGTTATTCGATTCTGTCAAATGTGCTTATTGAATCGTAACTTTTCTATACGTCTAAGAGTTATAACGGCGTAATCTTACGGTCAACGAAGAAAATGTACGTGCTAGACTATATGCTATCGAGCTTATGTTCTTTCTAGTTGGCGGAGACAGAGTGCCTTACGCGAGAACACTAATCCTAAAATACACGCGTCATCGTTGTCTGTCATTTACGGAAAACGCACACGCAAGCGGACGGAATTTGAAAATGCGAGGGAAGCACGCGATAGAGCACGTTTTCCGTATCGCGGCGTTGCTCTAAGCAACATTTCTCTCTCGAAACTGCCTAGAATCTCCGCAAAATTCGCCGACGCGGTTGTGAACTTCTGCCATAATGGATGGCGTCGCAATTTCTCACGACTATTGCCACGAAGGCGGATTAATTTACGTTTCTCGCGACCATTCGTTCCATTTGAGCGAATTATCAAGCGGAGGTACGAAAATTCTCATTACAAGCGCAATTATCCTCTTTTATCCACTGTTGTTTTTTTCTTCCCTCTTTCGTTTTTACGAAGTTCATGAAACTAGTGCGTGCAGCACTCGGTCACTCGTTCACCGAATTAACGCTCCATTATGTAAAGCGGTGAATTTCCACACGCCGTTGCTACACGGCTCTCGCAATTACGCAAAGTACACCGCGTATCAACTAGATATTCTTCGCTGTTATAAAACGCCATTTCGGGTGTTGGCACGTTCATTCTGAAATACAGATTTTAAAATTTGCATGGGCGTGCATGCAAAGCCACCGAGTAGGAAGCGAGGAACTTGCTATTTAAGTCCAACCTATTTTCCCGCACGCATACGATGAACGAATAATGTATACGAAACAGCTAGCAGGTACTCCGAGATCTTTCTAGAACTCGATTATAACGGTGAAGAGAACTGCTTTTCTCACTTGCAATAATATATCAGGGGCCAACAATAAGAATAAGTCAAAGAAGTAAAGAAGAGCAAATACGAGACTTTATCTTGGTGTCTAATAATATCTTATGAAATAATAATTAAAATTGTCAATTTAATAACGATTTGCTGAAATATTTAAAAATTTAGCTAGAACTAAAAATAATTTTAATGGATTTTAAAATAATTATATAAGAGTCCTCAAGCTAGTTGCTAAAATGTTAAAACTTTTTACAGTGTTGCTCATCCTTGAGTTTTTTACTATATAATTTTGGTGATGCAACAGAATTATTTTCAGAACTAAATCTACTTAAAAATTTAAATAACAAAATTATTCTTTTCATGCAATGTATTATAAAAAAAAATATAAAGTATCTTAAAAATGAAACTTCACTTATTGTGAAAAATATTATCCCAGCTAAGGTTTGAATTTGAAATTTCCCGACTTATTTGGAATAAGAATAGGTATGTGAAAAGAAGTTATAGTTGAATTTTAGTTATAAAAAGATACAATTATATTTTTAAATAATCACACGGAATACATGCAAAATAAAAATACACAAATTTGAAAAAATCTAACTGTTTCGATCATGAATATTCAAATAAAATTAAAGTGGCGCAGATTTCAACGATTATTATTTCATTAAGACAGATTGAATGTTATTTTGAATGTTACATGTAAGAAACTTTGATATTCTTTATTATGGAAACCACCATTGAGGCAATGGATGAAGTAATTAAGGGAACCTTTAACTGCAAAATCCGATTTATCTACGACGATTGACTTCGAAGTTTGGCAACGAGATAAATGTTCCCCGGAGTTTCAATCAACCCTCTTTAGAATTGGTATTTTGCAGCCCTAAGACGTTCAGAATGCGATTATGATAAATTCTTGACTAAAAGTCACTTGCGAAGTACGCAAATCCTCTTTCGATAATAATCGAAAGAAAGTGGGAAGAAGGATAGTTTTTTTACACTATGACAGTACACTATAGATTACTATGTCACGGTAGCTTGCATTTCAGAGGCATTGAAATTGCGATTTGCATGTAAAACGAAATGCGTTTTTTCTCATATTTACGAGAGGATAATACTTTAATATTCCTTGCTGAAATATCCGATATTCTGCTAATATTCATTTTTTTTTATTCGACAATTATGAAAGTTTTATACATAAGTTTGATGAGAACGAGTCGGCAAAGGTATCATAATAATTAGAGTACTACGCATTTATATATGTAAATGCAAAACTGTTGTACCATTACATAATTTTGCAGATAATATTTAAATAATATATTTTGAATATTTTTAAAATTTTCTTTTACTAATGCTACTTTTTTTCTGTATTGCAGGTGATTATTTGGACCATGTTTGAACGGAGCTGCGAACAGGTATGTTGAAGTTTTATTCGAACTTATTAAAAACGTACTCTCATATGAAATTGATAACGATATGAAGCTTTAGTTGGTGAATGTAATGCAGTTATTGGTGCACTACTGTATTACCATACAATAATACCGGAAATATTGCCAACAATATGCCGTAATATGTACACGTCGCTTACTTTTCGATTTCCGTTGAAAAAAAAATTGAAATGCAATTCTCCTTTATGACGTTATATGCGCGTATTGTCGTCAATGTAAACCGTTCAACGTGACGGGCCCTATTTGTCCCGGGAATATTTTCGTTGTTTGGCAAAATGTAATTTCCTTGCGGCAAGGGCCACGGCGCTTTGGAAAAGAAAAAAAAAGCGAAATATCGAATGCGAATAATTCAAATGTCATTTCTCAGTCGGATTTGTCGGTCCGGTGCCCGCATACTGTCAGACAATATATTCGATAAAGTGCCGAAAGCAATCGCCGTCACCCATTCGGCGTAAAAAAAAAAGCTTATTTATGGAGTACTCGTCGATATCTGGCCTAACTTTGATTGTCACCCCAGCACTCTTATAAAGTCACAGTTTCCTATCGTGATGGACATAGACGATGATCCATATCGTTCAGATTGTTAACTAGTATTCCTCACGGATTTGGCACGTTCGCTTTCGTGAAAATATTTCCGCTTCGTGTAGAAGAATGCATCTGTCCATCCGAAATTATATCTTGCGATACATCGCGATAGTATCTCGCATCAGCAAAACAACGACGGTGCTGCTGGTGATTTAATTAAATTGTCTGTTTTCCGGTAACATGTAATTGAAATGCAACTTTTAGAACGTCAATATACAACAAATGTACATATACATTTGTGCACATGTAGAAATATATATATTCTCCACAACCGCGAGAGAGAAAATATCATTGAAACACGCAGCTTCGTTTGAACAGAATAACTATTAGCTCCCGCTTTGGCTTTCCGCGTTTTATTTTATGATTTTTGTTTGTATTTAAAAATTTGCAATTCTGAAACTTATGCACATATCTGCGCGGATTAACATTAAATAATAAACAGAACTTGCCGCACAATAGCATTCATTTAATTTTTTAATCGTAAGTTTGTTTATGTAAGAATAAGGATTTGTATATGTATATATTCTGCATTAGGTATGTATTTTCCATTTAAATCTTTTATTTGACAATATTTGCCATCGATAAAGCAGGCTTGTAAATTTAGCTGAAAATTTCGGTTTGGATTCGTTAATCAATAAATGGTCGAATATCTCATTATTGCTGCGAATAGGGAATTAAATTACCTATATGATCGTTTATTGATTAACGAATCGAAAGCGGGTTACAAGCCCGCATTTACGAGTGCTCTTATCTAGAGAAAGCTCATTTATTTCAATGCAATTGCAATATAGTTGTGATAATTACTCAGCAATCTTAATTCCTTCGTAATAATATCCCTTTAAAAATACAATAATTTTAATTTATAATGTTACTTTGTGAAATGTTAGATAAAAAAAGTATTATATGCAGTTTAACATTACCTTACATTTCGTATGGTAATATAAAATTACATATGAAATTATATCAAATCTCCAAAGTTCTCAGTAACTGTTAATGCATTTTTCATTAATTCTTCTTTCATGTTTTTCTGATTATTCGTAAGTGCATATCCAAGTGCATATAAATAATTTAAAAACTTGTTAAAAACTTTGACGTATAAAAGATATATTTACGCGAAAATGTTTTCATTATTTTCTAAAAACAAAAAACCACCCATTTTCACAGTAACCCGCTGGTGGTCAAAAGGAGCGAGTTCACATGCTAATGGCGGTAATTATCGTGAAAGCGATGGCTTAACTGTTACGTTTTTTGCTTGAAAGAGTTGTTAATACTTCGTCCGATCTCACGGTGATAACCCAATTCACTGTTCGCTATACAGATTGGGCTCGCTGCAGAACTGTACAGTAAACAATGCCAAACCTGTTTTCGTGGGTCAAGAAGGTGCGAGACAACTCGCCAGGCATGCACTCGAGAAAGTCACATTTTTACACGGTAGAAGACACATACACACGTGCAGTTACTATAAATGGCTCGTTATGACACTACTTGTTGTCACAGTCTTCCCCTGAACCCTATTATAAGAAGAGTTCATCTCGTGCGCACTTCTTTCCACTTGTGAGGCTGAGAAGAATATTACCGACAGGGTTGGTGACGGCTTTTATCCTCGGTTAGAGAAAAAAACCTAAAATTACATCCCTCTGACCGATATACATTCGCCGAGACATAGAATCGACGAAACCAGCCTTTATGTTTTGAGCTACAAAGATAAGCCCGGAAACATGGAAACATTGCAAACATCAATAAGTCAATACAACATAAAATACGTTTCCTTCTTTTTTGATCTTTTCTTTCGCCTATATTTTATTAGCTCTCTTTTCAAAAATATTCGATTTATACGTTTGCTATATTATTTAGTGAAAACAGTGGGTATTTTGTGGTTACAATTTGGCAAATGCAATGTAAAATTAATAATTAAAATTCATAAATCATCATATATTATTACAGTACGAAATTGGAGATGTATATATCGCGCTTTATACTCTTTCATTGGAATAAATTGGGTAACTGATCTGAAAACAGAATTACATTGCACTTGTCTATTCGTTTCTATTTCAGATATAAATTGATATATATTTGAATCTGAAACTTGGAATAATATATGAATCAATTCTGAATTTGTAATAATATATGTTTTTGGAATAATATATTTGGAATAATAATATATGGAACAAAAATGTTGTAAAATTAATAAATACTTTATTTAATTAAATTAAGTATTTGCAATCGTTCAAGAGAAGTGATGTGTTAATTATTAATTTTATTAGAAATTCTTTTAAGAAATTTTATTAGAAATCATTCTTAATTATTAGATGAAATAATAATAATATCTTATCCTTCAGAATATATCGCGATAGAATAAACACATATTCAATCTGGATTTCAAATACACTATTAATATTTGCGCACTTTCGTAAGATATACGAGTGAAGTTTCTCATTTATATTATTCTTATATTTACTTAATAATGCAATCAAATTTTATATTTCTATAAACATACATTTTGTAAATGGAAAATAAAAATTACAGATTGAAAAAGGGGAAAAAGGAGACAGAAAGAGAGAGAGAGAGAGAGAGAGAGAGAGAGAGAGAGAATTCACCGATATTAATTATCTAATTTATTTCAAATTAAATTAAAAAATTTACTTGGATTAATTCCACTAATATATCGACCAGCAATATTTATCGCATTGTTTCTATTTGTTTGTAAAATATAGCGTGTAACAAGCAATTGTGAAAAATTTTGCATTACAAATCTCTAACATCGATATTGGTCGCGAGATCTCTGAAGTACTATATTTTGAATTTTCTCTTATTTGTAATATATTTTAATGCATGTACATGGAAATAATGATTTTGTTGAAATATCTAAAAATTTGGCTAGATACAGATCTGAAAAAATTTTGTTAGAAATTTGCATATATGAATATTATTTATCCGCTTCGATTGAAAAAAAATTTTTTTTCTATTATCTGATTTATTTTTATCGGTCAATTTGTAATTTTTTATTAGACCACCAAAATAATTATCTAGGATGCTCAAATTGATTGTTATAGAATATCAAAACTTTTTGAAATATTGCTCATCATGCTTAAGTTTCTTAAATAATTATTTTAATGATCCAATAAAATTTTAAATTTGTATTCTTTAGATACTTTAGTTGTCCTTTTTATAAAAATTAAATATTGTTATTTAAACAGAATGTTTGTTATTTCTATAATTTTTTGAACGCTTTTACTTGCGAATAATAGAAATAATTGACTAACACGACGCACAGCAAAAAATGGTACTTGTGGACATGGTAGAATAATTATGAGTCAAATGATGAAGAAACAATTCGTGAATGTAAATGATTTTGAGGTGTGCATTATCTTGACAAGATGGGAGCTACTCAAATTACTGACATTTGCGGTTCGCGTGACCACCAGTTTCCTCGCAATGCGTTAAGATTAACCATTACGATCGATTCGTATTAGCTGATGTGTACATAGACGATATTATCAATAGATGAATGCAGTTACGAGATGATTGCCAGAAAAAAAAGATAGCCTCAGGACAGTATATAACGCTGTATAACGTCGGTCCAATTATGGGCAGATTGCTATCACACTTTTGAAATCGACACTTTGCGCAACGCCCATGGGAATCTCAAACGTCCCCATGCTCACGCGTTTTTTTTTATCATCGACTTTGTCGGCCCGCCAGCGTAGATAGTCTCCGATATTAAATTCTAGAGATGCGAAATGCCGCTGAAACGATTGCACCCGTCGCGGTACGTTCTATTTCGCGTGAATATCGAGTAGCAGCCGGCGAGAACAGTCGACTTCTCGATCGCAAGTTATTGTCTGTTACCGACGCCTTCGAGTTTCGTCGAAATTTCTTTGCGGTCTTCTATCTAAGTAATATGAGTTGTGCGCTCGGGACTCATCGACGATGTTCCACCAACGCGCATGTTATTCGAGATATTAAGAAGAAAAAGGAGAAACGCACTTCACAACAATCTCTCTTGTGTAAATGTTACAATGCGTTCATACAGATGAGTCTGTGTTAGTCAGCTCCCTTAAATCACCGACTGTACTGTCACTTTCAAGCTGTAGATTATATGTTAAGAGAATCAGGATTCAAGATAGTAGACAGCTTTGAAAGCTTTCCATAGCATTATTCTCCTTCTCATTTATCTGGGTTTCTACCAGTAGGATTTATATTAAAAGACTATCTAGTTTTGGCCATCTAGTTGAATATTCAAGTGTGACATATCGTGGAATAATCCAGCCTACTATATGTAACAATAAATGTGTACACAGAAAAAATGATATATTAATAACATTATTTTAATTATAATAATCTTGTTAATTTACAATAACAGTATTAACGAAATAAAAAGT